CCCCCCCTGCTCTAACCCACTAGCCCCCACTCCCCTCCCAGAGCTGGGGAGAGAACCCAGGAGTCCTGGCTCCCAGCCCCTCCTGCTCTAACCACTAGACCCCACTGCCCTCCCAGAGCTGGGAGAGAACCCAGGAGTCCTGGGGATTAGTGATGAGCACTCGGGGGCTGGGAGTCAGGACTCCTGGGTTCATACCGGCACTGATGAGTAACCGACGTGCACACATACACAGTACGTGACTTCACGCACACAAAACACAGACACAAACACCCATTGTCCTGGGTTGATCCACAGAGACAGCAGCTAGAGATACGGCCCCTCTGATCCCTCCCGCCGGGGCTATGCCCCCCCCCTCCCCCCACACACACACACTCACACTCTGAGATCACGTCTGCATGGAGCCCTCAGATAGGAGCTGGGGCTGGGATGACAAAACGTTACTTCCTTCAGCGTATGTGTCTCTGTGTCCACATGCACTTCCCCCCGCTGGAGGGAATCGGGGCCTTGTGGGTGGGAGACAAAAAGGGAATGGTCTATAATATTTGTATGACCCCCCCCATGCGTACCTCAGTTTCCCTCTGTACTTTGCATGGCTGCCCAGGGCGGGGGGGACAAAAGGATTAACGCTGCTCATGGAACAGCGCAGGAGACGGGGTGGGGAGGGGGAGGACGCCTGGCTGTCTCGGAAGCACTATGGGACGGATTGAAACGGGAAGCTCAGGCGGATTGCGGGGGGGTGAACTCGGCCTGGCCCTGCCTGGAGAACGAGGCCTGAGCTGGGACCAGCAGAGGATAATGTTGGACTCGCCGGGCAGGGCTCGAGGGGCGAAGCAGGGGGGCTGGAGCTCAGACACTCAGTCTCAGAGGCGGGGAGGCTGCAGGGCTGCCCCGAAGGAAGAGTGGGACCCCTTGGGGGTCCGGCCCACTTACAGGGTGCAGCACCAGTCCTGTGTCTCCGGGACAGGTGGTGGCAGGGGTGGGATCCACAATGCACCAGGAGCATTTGGCAAGAAGTGACTTGCGGGCGGTAAAATCAAAGTCAAAGGAAATGGCAGGAGAATGGTGCCTAAGCCCCGCCCGGACAGGGAGCGAGGGGTGAGCGCTGGGAGCTCCAGGATCTGGAGAAGGGAAGGTGCAAGAGGACCCAAAGAGGGGTAACTGGGGAAAGGCCCTGGGATGCCCATTCCGCAGGAAGCCAAGATACCAAATCGTTGCCCCAGTTTACGGGGGTGGGGGAGCAGAGATGCCAACCTCACGGCCGGCGAGAAGTCCTGCACCTTGAACCCGGTCGGCCCTGCGGCCCGGCCCCTCCCTGGTCCCAGAGCGAGAACGGCGGCCGGCCGGGGAAGTTCCCAACGGCCCCACTGCTGCTGTCTGAATTCACCCCTTATAGGAAAAGGCCTCGGGGTGTTCAGAGGACTCAGGGTGTGACGCACACACCCCGCCCTGGCAGCAGAATATCTCCACAAGTGGGGGCCGATGCAGAGCCCACGCCGCTGGAGGCTTCGTTTAATCCGGCCGGGTTGGAGCGACTCTCGGAGAGCCATCCCCACGAGCGTAAAACGTGGCTGGACAGGAAGGCGGGGGAGCCGCCTAGCGCGGGCCGGTTGGCAGATGAGTTTGCAGAGAGTAAGCTGAAGGGGAGTGGGGCACCCCCGTGTGACCCACAAGCAGGCTTCGAGTCAATCCAAACCAGGGGTGACAGCCTACCCGGGCAGGCCTCCTGCAACGCATCTCGCGGGAAGGTGCAACGTTTCTAGGAAAACAAGGCACAGGTGCCCAATGAAATCAGGTTTCCCTGGGACGGAGGCGATCTCTCATCTGCCGCCCAGCCAGGGGGGGCCCAGAGAGCAAACTCTGGGGAGAAAGCTATGGCCCAGCCAGACCCCTTGGGGGCAGGGAGGTGGTGACAGACAGGATCCCACTGCAGGCACCATCTCCTGTTGGACTCCCCTGGACTCAGACTCCTGTGGTCCCCAGTAGGATCAATGGTCAATAGGGAGACCTCCATGGGGTGGAGAGATTCTGGGATGGAGGGAAACCTGGCTTGATAATGGTATAGAGAGAACACTTATAAAGTTTGCAGACGATACCAAGCTGGGAGGGGTTGCGAGTGCTTTGGAGGATAGGATTAAACTTCAAAATGCTCTGGACAAATTGGAGAAATGGTCTGAAGTCAATGGGATGAAATTCAATCAGGACAAATGCAAAGTACTCCACTTAGGAAGGAACAATCAGTTGCACACGTGCAAAATGGGAAATGACTGCCTAGGAAGGAGAACTGCAGAAAGGGATCTGGGGGTCAGAGTGGATCACAAGTTAAATATGAGTCAACAGTGTAACGCTGTTGCAAAAAAAGCAAACATCCTTCTGGGCTGTATTAACAGGAGTGTTGTGAGCAAGACACGAGAAGTCATTCTTCTGCTCTACTCCGCGCTGATTAGGCCTCAACTGGAGTATTGTGTCCAGTTCTGGGTGCCACATTTCAGGAAGGATGTGGACAAATTGGAGGAAGTCCAGAGAAGAGCAACAAAAATTATTCAAGGTCTAGAAAACATGAGCGGTCAGAGAAGATCGAAAAAATTGGGTTTGTTTAGTCTGGAGAAGAGAAGAGAAGACTGAGAGGGGACATGAGAACTGGTTTCAAGTATGTAAAAGGTTGTTACAAGGAGGAAGGAGAAGAATTGTTCTCATTAACCTCTGAGGCTAGGACAAGAAGCAATGGGCTTAAACTGCAGCAAGGGAGGTTTAGGTTGGACATTAGGAAAAACTCCTAACTGTCAGGATGGTTAAACACTGGAATAAATTGCCCAGGGAGGTTGTGGAATCTCCATCATTGGGGATTTTTAAGAGCAGGTTGGACAAACACCTGTCAGGGCTGGTCTAGATGACACTTAGTCCCATGAGGGCAGGGGATGGGACTAGACGACCTCTCGAGGTCCCTTCCAGTCCTGTGATTCTATGTTCCAACCCCCTCAAACACTGCAGGGCCGTGGGACCCGGGATAAGGGCCCAGGTGCAGAGTTATTTGCCCCACTGATGGCTCAGATCCCTGGGCAGACACGGGACGGCTCAGGCCGGGGTGGGGGGATTCCCCAGCTTGGACGCCCTCCTCGGGAAGGACAGCGTCACTTCGAGGCACAAGTCAGGCCCCGCGGCCGCGAGCTCAAACCAGGGCTCCGAGCGGAGGAGACACTGAAAGTGGAAACAGCTGAACTAGCAGGGAACGGACAGTTCCTCCCCCGGCTTCGCCTCTAGCTCAGAGGAAAGGCCCCGGAGCCTCAGGACGCCGTCAGCGAGGCCGGCACGTGAGCGGGACCGAGCCCCAGCCAGCTCCGCACGGGAGATGTGAGTCATGCGGGCGTGCCTGCAGCTCGCCGCTGTGACTCGGGGAGCCAGCTCCCGGCGGGACGGCCGAGCCCAGTGGGGTCTGAGCCCCCGGCGCGGCGTGCGGGGGAGACGCGGGCAGGCTCACCCTGGCCGGAGAAGCCCCAGGGAAGGGGAAAGCAGCCAAGAGGCGGTGGCTTGTCACAGAGACACCTGCTCAGAGTGTGACACGGCCCCCGGTGGGTTCCCTTAACCAATCACAGCCCCCCCGGGGTGGGGGGGTGGAGAGGACTCTGCCCTGGGGGTGAGGGCAATGGGGTCCTTGCATGCACACAGCCCCTGAGGGGACCTGCCAATGTTGGGGAGCGCCCTGCGCCCCTGGCCAGCAGAGCCCCAGGAACAGATCTACACTGCTCAAGGGGTCCCTCCCTCTCTTGCCCACAGCTTAGGGGGACGGGCACCCCATGCCAGCTGAGCCATAGGGGGAAGGAGGGTCCCCTGCCCCCCTCGCCAATGAGGGGAGGGGGTCATGGCAGGACCCAGCCCACTTTCACACCCAAAGGTGTCAGGGTGGCAGACGGGTGCTGGGGGGAGAGGGGGCCTTAAAAACTCCCCCTCCCCTCCCCCCGACACCCGGTCTGCGTCATCTAACGGAGCAGCCCTACGGGGGCTGTCGGCCCCTGAGCTCGATGGATAAGAAACCGAGCTGGGAGGATCTGAAGGTGGCCAGCAGATAACGCGGGCGAGTCTGAACTCCCCCAGAATACGGGTTAACACGCCCCTGCTTGGCTCGGCCTCCGAGGGGTAGAGGAAGGATGAAGGGGGATTTCTTGTAATTTTTTCCAGAATCCCACGCCTGCCTCAGTTTCCCTCTGTACTTTGCATGGCTGCGCCGGGGGGGGGGGGAGAAGGAGAAGGGTTAACGCTGCTGCTGGAGCAGTGAGAGCCGTTAAGGGACTGGTGGAGATTGACGTAGATCTGGAGAGACAACGCTGGCTCCAAGCCTGGTTGGACTCGCGGGGCAGAGCTCAAGGGGCGAAGCGGGGTGGGGGGAATTGGAGCCCCACAGCTCAGTCTAGGAGGTGGGGAGCCCACGGGGCCGACCCTGAAGGCAGAGGGGGGCTCCCTTGGGGGTCTGGCCTACTGGCGGGGTTCCTCCAAGGGACCGGGGTACGGCCCCGTGACTGTCTGGGGGCGTGCCGCCCTGCCCCTTACGGGAGGGAATCGGGAGGGGGTGGATGGAGGGCACGCCTCACCTGTCCCCAGCTGCCGCAGGGCCGGATCCAGCTGCAGATCGAAGACGCGCACCTCGGCCACGTTGGGCGACCGCTCCACCAGCATCCGCACCAGATGGGAGCCCAGGAACCCGCAGCCGCCCGTCACCAGATAGACCTGCCGGGCCCGGCCCCACTCCATCAGGCCCTATGGGGAGAAGGGAGACAAGCTGGGGGTTAGGCCAGGGGGTGGGTGCCGGGGGGAGCTCAGGCCGCACATGTGTGTGCGGGGGGGAGGGAGAGAGGGTTTGCATACCAATCCTTTCTCTCTGCTCTGGACGCCTGCTTCCCATCCCCCTTGCTCCCTGGGAGATGCGGGGCCCTCTTGAGATGAACCCCCAGCACTGTGGTCCCGGACTCCTGGGTCCCAGCCCTGCCACATCCCGAGCCCTCCCGCTCTCAAAAGGCCTGGGCCAGATGTCCCCACCCAGGCCCAGACTGAATGACCCCTCTGTGGCAGGTGCCGACTCCCAGGGCTATAATTTACGGCTTTGCTACCCCGGATGCCTGGGTTCCTCCCTCAGGGTTGTGGCTTGTGGGAACCCTGAGCAGACTGGAGAGCAATTTCCTCTCTGACAAAAGGAAAGACAAAGGAAGCCTGTGTGTTCATGAGCCTTTGTCAGTCACCAGGAAGCAAAGCCGCCCTTGAATTTACAACCGGCCAAACCATTCTCCGCATCACAATGAACTACAGGCGAGGACAAGCGGCTGTGGGGCAGGGCACCTAGGGAACAGCTGCACAGCAATGCTGGCTGTACAGGGACGCTGAGATGCAGCCACTTCTGGGGCGGGGCAGCTGGGGAACAGCCGCACAACGCCAAACGGGGACAGTTCACCTGGCACTGAGATGCAGCCACTTTGGGGCGGGGGGCAGCTGTAAGGACTGGGGGGCTCGGTAGGGGGCACTCTCCCCCGGCAGTCAGGGCATCGCTAGGGGGCGCTGTGCTGCAGGGAGCGGGACAGGAGCTCAGAAGGGGGTGCTCTCCCCTGGCAGCCAGGGCTGGCCCCAATGCCCCAGTGCGGCGCTGTGCTGCAGGGAGAAGATCAGTAGGGGGCACTCTCCCCTGGCAGTCAGGGCATCGCTAGGGGGCGCTGTGCTGCAGGGAGCGGGACAGGAGCTCAGTAGGGGGCGCTCTCCCCTGGCAGCCAGGGCTGGCCCCAATGCCCCAGTGCGGCGCTGTGCTGCAGGGAGAAGATCAGTAGGGGGCGCTCTCCCCTGGCAGTCAGGGCCGGCCACGCTATGGGGTCTCTCAGCCACATGCGTTATTGTTGAGTTTTTATATTGCATTAGCGCCTTAAAGCTACAACACGGCGGGGCCCCGTGGTGCTGGGCGCTGCCCAGACCCACAGCAGGAGCCGGTCCCTGTCCCGAAGGGCTCACAGCCTAACCGGACAAAGGCAGGAACGTTCTCCCCCTTTCACAGCTGGGGAAACTGAGGCTCAGAGAGACCCAGGACTTGCGCCAGGGGCACAGGGAGTCTATGGCAGAGGCAGAGATAGAACCCAGGAGTCCGGATCACCCAGCCCAGCACCCTAAGCACAGCTCAGTTCTGGTCTCGATTTCCCAGCAACAGGAAGGCCAGTAAATGAGGGAAACCTGCTTAGGAGAGGGAAATGACAGGGATCGTTTCGTGTTTCTTGACGCAGGAGAAATTGTCCACCCCTCACTCCCCAAGGAGCCCAGCCAGCCAGGGTCTGCGCTCGGGAAGTGACTGGATGCTGCATGCCAGCCAACTCCATTCCCCCTTTGAGGGCAGAACCCAGAAGTCCTGGCTCCCAGCCCCACCTCTATTCCACCTCACCTCCCAGAACAAAGACTAGAACCCAGGAGTCCTGGCTCCCCGCTCACCTGTTCTAACCCACTAGACCCCCCTCCCCTGCCCTGCCCGGCCCGAGCTAGGGATAGAACCCAGGAGTCCTGGCTCCTGCCCCCTGCTGCTCTAACCCACTAACCTCACATGGTGGGAGGGGAGTGCACACCTGCTCTGACGGTTGGCAGCAGGGCACCCAGCCAGCTGAGTTGTTTGGATTTAATGGCTGGAAATCATTGCCACGGATCACCGCACACTAACTCAGACTTCAGGTGGTTGACAGGGAGGGATCCACCCCCTCTGGCACTTCAAAACTCATTGCAAGCCCCGGGGTTATTGGGGGGGGGCACCGGCACAGCTGGGGGGGCCACACAAGTCGGGAGGGAGGGGCACTGGCAGAGCTGAGAGCAGACGGGGTGGATTCTGGCCCAGACCGGCCCATGGGCCCAGCCCGGTGTCCCATCTTCTGGAGACAGAAGAGGTTAGATCCATCTCATTCCATGGGCCCAGTCCGGCCGGACGTCCCCACAGCATGCCCGCCGAAAGCCGGGGCTGCACCGCGCCAGGTCGTGCTGATGCCCCTGAGACTAGGTGGGCCAGGTGTTGGCGGTTCTCTGGCCGCCTTCCGGCGGGGAGCGAGACGCTTCCCAGCCCTGCTTTGGAAACCTTGACTCATTACCCAGGGCAGGGCAGCCGGACGTGGGCACACGACAACCAGACGGAGCCGGTCTTGTGAGCCCTCTGTTCTTGGCAAAAATCACAGGTAAATGGCACCTGAGCTCAACTCCCGGCAGCACAGCGCCCCCTAGCGCCGCCCTGGGGCATTGGGGCCAGCCCTGACCGCCAGGGCTCTCATCCTGGTTAGTTCACAGCCCACAGTAGCTGTTTTCCCATGTTGGGCCCTCCTGGGGCCCCCCACCCCCCTTCCAGAGGCAAGTGTCCAAGGTAAAGCAGAGATAAGGGGCTGGCATGGCCATGAGATTAGAACCAGCTCTGCCCTTGGCATGCTGACACCACATAACACGGTCACCCCGGGAGAGAACCACAATCCTGGCTCCCAGCCCCTCCTGCTCTAACCCACCAAACCCCACTCCCCTCCCAGAGCTGGGAAGAGAACCCAGGAGTCCTGGCTCCCAGCCCCTCTGCTCTAACCCACCAGACCCCACTCCCCTCCCGGAGCCAGGGAGAGAACCCAAGAGTCCTGGCTCCCAGCCCCCGCTGCTCTAACTCACTAGACCCCACTCCCCTCCCAGAGCTGTGGATAGAACCCAGGAGTCCTGACTCCCACCCCCTGCTCTAACCCACCAGACCACACTCCCCTCCCCTCCCTTCCCTTCCCCGAGCTGGGGAAAGAACCCAGGAGTCCTGGCTCCCAGTTCCCCCTCGCTCAAACTCACCAGACCTCACTTCCCTCCCAGCTCTGGGGAAAGAACCCAGGGAGTCCTGGCTCCCAGCCCGCCCCTGCTCAAACGCACCAGACCACACCTCACTCCCCTCCCAGAATTGGGAACAGAACCAGGAGTCCTGGCTCCTACCCTCCCCCATTCCGAACCCTGGGCCCAGAAGGTGCCCACGCTGTGCTGCCTGACCCCGTGCCCTGCCGCATGGGTGTGACCCGGTCTCATGTAAACAAGCCCAGCCTGACTAGCAGGTGCTAACCCCAGAGCACGTGAGGCCAGCCAGGCTGCCTAGTTCTTAGAGCGGATCTCAGCTCCCAGCCAGTCCCAGAACAGGGGCCAGACACTGGGCTAGATGGGCCCCTAGGGCTGACCCGGGCTGCAGGCTCTGGCAGGGAAGCACCTGTTCTCTCGCTAGCGGGAAGGGCCACGAAGGGGTTAACTGAGGCGAGATGGGAATGGAAAATTTCTCAGACGCTGAATTTGCTCCAGCTTCTACACATCAGAGCAACTGGTGTGTGTCAACCCCCCCCCCCCCCGGCCTGGAGACTGGAACCCACGGAGTCCTGGGTCCCTCCCCCTCACCCCACCAACTCCAACCCACCAGACCCCACTCTCTCCCCCCCCTCCCCCAGAGCCAGGGAGAAAACCCAGGAATCCTGCCTCCCAGCCCCTCCCTGCTCGGACCACTAGTCCCCACTCCCCTCCCAGAATCGGGAGAGAACCCAGGAGTCCTGGCTCCCAGCCCCCCCTGCTCTAACCCACTAGATCCCACTCCCCTCCCAGAGCTGAGGAGAGAACCCAGGAGTCCTGGCTCCCAGCCCCCCCCCCTGCACTAACCCACTAGATCCCACTCCCCTCCCAGAGCTGGGAGAGAACCCAGGAGTCCTGTCTCCCAGCCCCCCCTGCTCTAACCCACTAGATCCCACTCCCCTCCCAGAGCCGAGGAGAGAACCCAGGAGTCCTGGCTCCCAGCCCCCCCTGCTCTAACCCACTAGATCCCACTCCCCTCCCAGAGCCGAGAAGAGAACCCAGGAGTCCGGGTTCCCAGCACCCCCTGCTCTAACCCACTAGACCCCCCTCCCCTCCCAGCGCTGGCAGAGGACCCAGGAGTCCGGGCTCCCAGCACCCCCTGCACTAACCCACTAGATCCCACTTCCCTCCCAAAGCCAGGAGAGAACCCAGGAGTCCGGGCTCCCAGCACCCCCTGCACTAACCCACTAGATCCCACTTCCCTCCCAAAGCCAGGAGAGAACCCAGGAGTCCTGGCTCCCAGCCCCCCCTGCTCTAACCCACTAGATCCCACTCCCCTCCCAGAGCTGAGGAGAGAACCCAGGAGTCCTGGCTCCCAGCCCCCCCCCCCGCACCAACCCCACAG